CAAGTAAAAGTATTTTGATAGCTCTGGGGTCTTCATCTGGGCCTGGTTTTACATTTCTTTTGTTTATTTTTCATGGAAATTTTACAACCACTGTCTAATAAACAGAAATTTTGTAATTAAATTAAAATTGTAATAATACGTTTTGGTTTTCACTGAATCAGTTATTAATTTAGCATCTCTGTTTTTGTATGTGGTGAGAATCTCATATTTTAAACTATTACTCTGAAACATAGTGAATGAGTCATTTCTTTAAAAACAATGAAAAGCAAGCACAACCTCTACCCACCTTCTGTCTTCATACCCTGAAAAAAAAAAAAAAAAAAAAAAAAAACAAACCTTCACCTAAGTTGTAGCTTACTGAAGTACTGAAATACAGTATCCCTTAATATTATTTTCTGTTAGTTGTTAACAAGATATTACAAGTGCAGTAATAAAATTTTTAGGTCAGCAAGATTTATGTTTTACTTAACTGCTGAACCCTTGCTATTAGAGGAAAGGAATGATTAGTTGTTTTCATTTATAATGTGACATTTACATTAAGCAATAAATGCTCTAGTAGTGTATTAATTTATTTGTCATATGATCTTGGACGTGTGCAATAATTTGTAAAAGTTTTCCTATAGCCAAGGATATGGTGCTACATTTTTTCCAATAACAAATGCATTTTCATATTCAATCATTGCCTCTAATTTAATTTTTAAAGTAGGTTTAGCAATATTAATGGTGAGGCAAGCATGTTTTAATAATAGTGTTTATATGAATTTCTGAATAATTATGCTTTAACAAACTTATTAATATGAAGTAATTTTCAATTTTTTGCTTGTGTCCCAAATTATTTTTCAAGTCATTCATTTTAATAAAATAGCCATCCCTATCTTATAACCTCAGTTTTGGAGTAGTCCCGTAAAAATAATGGCTATTTTGTGTCAATATATTATTACATAATTGTAAATAAGTAATTGAATGAACTGCAATGACATCATATGATTCAATTATTTATATATTTTAAAACAGCTGGTTTTTGCATCATGTAGGCCAAAACATTTGGCTGTTTATTTTTTAACCTTTTTTAACACAAAGTTAATGTAACTAAAGCCAAATGTAGAACAACTCGTTCCTTGTTTATTTTGTACTATTAGGAATTCTAGGAAGAAGTGATTGGACATGATACCATTTGATGGATTCATAATTTTTCAAACGTTATGAATATTTAAAATGAAGGGAATATGTGAGATGATATTCTGATGTCTTCAGATATTTCAAGAGTTTTCAATGGGTCAAAACTTAGGGCAGGTTTAGGAAGATTTTCTATGGGTAACAAAATTGTTGCAATGCCTATAATGTATGACGTATTATGATTAGTACCTTCACATACATTGTATCTTCAAATAATTACAACTTTTTGTAACTGTTTTCATTTTGAAAGAGAAAAATGGGTAATGTGGTCATAGTTGTGATTTCAGCCTTGGTCTAGAAGACTTTAGAGTCCTATCTTTGTTGATTTTAAGGCTCTTACCAATGTGTATGTTCAGGCAGTTGATGAACACTTAGTAAAGATATCCTAGAGGATAAGAAAGTATCATTGGGTGCTGGAGGAGGTAATGATTCTCACTTTTAAACACATATTTTCTAATAAATTCTAGAACTTTGCCCATGTTTTCTAAGTTCTTTCTGAGTTTAGTGTTGGCACCTTATGTGGTTTGGCTTTGTCCTCACCCAAATCTCATTTTGAATTGTAGCTTCAGTAATGCCCATGTGTCGTTCCATGGGAGGGACACGGAGGGAAGGAATTGAATCATGGGGGCAGGTCCTTCCCAGGCTGTTCTGATGATAGCAAATGAGTCTCATAAGATCTAATGATTTTATAAAGGGGAGTTCCCCTACACATGCCCTCTTGCCTGCCGCCATGTAAGACGTCCCTTTGCTCTTCCTTCATCCTCTGACATGATTGTGAGGCCTCCCCAGCCATGTGGAACTGTGAGTCCATTAAATGCTTTTCCTTTATAAATTACCCAGTGTCAGTTATGTCTTTATTAGCAGCATGAGAACAGACTAATACATCATCCACAATAATTGTTAGAGGGAGAACTATGTTTCTTGGAAATACATGTACATAAACAATAACAGTTGCTGAATTTTCTAAGATTATGCAAAGATAGTAACAACTTGGAATTAAGAAATTGACCTTAATTTTTTATAGGATGTTCCATTTCAACATAATATTAAGAAAAAAAATCTTTGTATGATAACACTAGAAAATGTAGTATTAGAATCTCAAATCTGAACTTTCTCACTTTAGTCATTGCATTGACCAAAATATATGGGCTAAAAAAATAACACCTTACTTTAATATAGAACCCTTACTGATTTTCTGAAAATTTCACTTACATTATGAGATATAAGACATTTCATAGAGTGAGATAGCCCTAGGTGAGAGTCCTCACTTTGCTATTTATCTGTATGACCTTGCCCAAGGTTACTTGATCTTTCTCTGTCCTTGCATTTTTGTAGCACTAAAATAGAAATATGTATTGACCTCATTCGATTCTTAAGAGAATTTTTTAACACATGTTTCATGGTAGCTGGAACATAGTAAGTCTTAATAAAGGTATTATTACAAAAAAAGGAAATGCTGTTCTCATAGTTATGTGACTATATAGACAATAAATTTTCTCTGGGAAATTAGAATTTAGGTAGGAATTTCAGCTGTTACTGTGCTTTTTATGCTAAAATGAAGACAGAGACGTACTGTTGGTCAACAGTATGTTTTAGGGGGAGTTAGGATGATATTATGAGGCCTTTATATTTTGCTACCATAATGAAATAATATAAAATGTAATTACAGAATTCAGATTTTTTTTATACTGCACCTTTACTACAAAGAAAGAAACATGATCAGAGCTACAGGGACAATGAGGTGTTTTAACCAAAACAATTTATTTAGCAATATATTGTGCCTGTATTTACTAACATGTGTGCAGAATACATACATATGAATATATGTGCAGAATACATATATGCATATAAATACATATATTCATATAAATGTTACTTTTGTAACAATAAATCCCAGAAAGGTGTACTTTTTCAGTTAAGACACTTTAAGAACAAATTATGCTTATGGTAGATGTGCACTGCTAGAATGAATGGATTCATGCTAGAAGACAGAAATGGAATGTTCTTCAAGATGTTAAAGACACAGGGCACAGGCCGGGCGCGGTGGCTCACGCGGGTAATCTCAGCACTTTGGGAGGTCGAGACGGCCGATCACTAGGTCAGGAGATTGAGAACATCCTGGCTAACACGGTGAAACTCCGTCTCTACTAAAAATACAAAAAAATGAGCCGGGCATGCTGGCGGGTGCCTGTAGTCCCAGCTACTCGGGAGGCTGAGGCAGGAGAATGGCATGAACCTGGGAGGCGGAGCTTGCAGTGAGCCAAGATCGCGCCACTACACTCCAGCCTGGGCTACAGAGCGAGACTCCGTCTCAGAAAAAAAAAAAAAAAAAGAAAAACAAAACAAAACAAAAAAACGGGCACAACAGAGCAAAGTATTCTGATATATGTACAAAAATTTACACATGCACACACATACATACACACACAATTTCTGAAAGAATGTTCTAAAACGTGAAATTGGTTTTCTGCGAGGAGGATATGTTACTTTGGAGGGAGATGTACTACTGGATTTCTGATATTTTTATCATGCATATATGAATGTGAAAATTAGCTTAAAATATATTCATGGAAAGAAATAAATGAAAAGGCAAACAATTGCTGTACCAACATGGTTGTCAAATGATTGATTTATATTCATATGTGTGTATGTGGTATGTCCCAGTTATTCTAAAATGCTGTGGTAAACATAAATTTCAAAAAGATACAGCATTGATTGACAGATTCAGATAAATAATTGAAATATATAAGCTATAATTTACTTTTATTTAATTGTACAATTAATCTGTGCATTGATTTTAGTATTTCTGACCATTTCAGTATTAAATTAAGCAATAGCTTAATTTTCCTTTTTAAATAAATTTCTAATTATTATCTTAAGACAATATCATCACTTCTTTAAATTTTGACTCTATAAGATCATTCATATATCTTTACAAGTGAAGGCAGCAGAAATAATTAGCTAAACTCAAGTTGCTGTTTCATCTTAGATCTGCTTTATATTATTATGCTTAGGAATTTCATTATTTCTGCCTTTCTCTTCCTCAGACAAAATAAGTCATAGTTAAAGTAAAATTACAATGCTTTTATTAATTTCAAGAACATTTTAAAAACTCAGCCTATTTCTGCATTAAAAATATCAGTGGTTGAATATCAATTGGTACTATTACATAGATCTTAAAAGAAAGAAAGTTAAACATCATGTCTCATCGAGCCAAGTTAACTATTCTTTAGAGTGACATGAAAACCTCAAAAAGAGGTAGAAATCAGTAATCTGCTGACATAAAGTTAAAATGTAAATGGCATGCCTATGTATTTCTTTCATAGACATATAGGTTGCAATAGACAGATTTTCTCTATTGAAAAAAATACGGGAAAAACAACATAAGACTATTAGCTTAATCAGGGTAGGGGTTTTTCAGGTTCATTCACTGCCATATCCTAAGTGTCATATGCCTCGTAAATAGTAGGTGATGCTTAAATATATGTTAACTTATGCAGTGTTTTCACATTAGACTGCTAGTTGAATTAATTTAAATATGATGAAATTGAACTATGCAGCTTAAGATTATTTAAATTATCCCCAGTTTTGATAAGAAAACTTATTTCAGAAAGGAAAGGAGAATGCTAATATATTTACTGAAATCACAGTATGTTGCACATTCCATTGGAAAGCTTTATTATGCAAATATATTTAAATCATATTGCATGATAGTCCTGCTGTAGTTTGAGATGGATCACCCAGTTAACAGCCACTATGTTTTTCAAGGATACTTTATAAGCATTTTTTGATACACTCTTTTTTTGTGCTTGCCTCCTTTGAAGAATCCCTGTAACCATTCAGCCAGGTGTTGAGAAGATATGTAGCAGCCGAGCACTCATCTTTTGACACCATCCTCTGAAATCAGCTTTGGAGATGCTTTCACTCTGTCCGTCTTCTGCAGCAGCCAGGCAGAGTGCTGACTCCTTCACAGCCGTGAGGAACTCTTCAGGCTCCAGAAGTAAGTTAATTGCATTCAGTTCAATCATTGTCAGTGGGTTTAAAACACTTAAGGGAGGAAAACTAAAAATCTTGCTAACTTACATACAAATTAAACCTCGTAGTATTCATCACTGATTATCTTGTTTTTTTTTTTTTTTTGAGTCATATTTTTCTGGATATGCAATGTCTTCCACTTTTTGTGTTGAAAACCTATATCCTTGTGGAATTTTCTGATTTTTTTTTCAGGATTTGTGTTTCACATGCATTATCATAATTTATACTTACAACTCTATAAGGCCTGGACAAGGAATATATTAAAATAACAATGTTTGCAAATGAATAAAAAGATTCAAAATGACCAAATATTTTATCAAATTTGCTTGGCTCATAAACTATGAAAGTGGAATACAATTTCTGGTTTTCTAAATTTTAAAAAGTAAGTGCTGTTTCCATGGCTTTGATGTCAGTGCTGTATGAAGGGCAATGTACTGGTGCTAGAAAGAGCAGTTTTCCTGATTGGTTGGTTTATTGAATGATACGTTATCTGGGTCATTCAAGGAGAGTTTATGCCAACCTTTAAATGTACATACTAGAAAAACAGAAGAAAATGAAGATCATATATAGGAAAATGAATTGAAATCAGGGGACATGAAGAATCTGTAAAATACATAACACAATGTACTGCATACCACCACAAAACAAATTCCCAGCCATCAATTTATGTATGGGCTTTCTAACTTCTAGGTAAATCAGGTAAATGTATTAGTTAAAAGATTATTTATGACCATAGAATTTGAAAATTAAGACAATGTCTCAGGAAAAGTTCAGGTTTTCCTGGTTCATACTTATGAGCCTATTGTTTTGCCATGTTTCTAGTTTAACTTTAGTTTATTTCTTCTTTACGTTTTTTTTCTTCTCCTAAATACTTGATGTAGACATTTCTTGTTGCTCTTGGCGACATATTTACATCTCAATGTCACTGCACAGAAAATTAATTGTAGGTGCACTTTTATATAGAGCAAAAGTTTGATATAGCTGAAACTGTCAGTGATTGGATGCTTGGCAATTAAAATTTTCTTGAAGTGAACAGGTAGGAGATACTTAATGAACCCATTTTTATTTTGCAACATATTACATGTCAATATGCAACATAAATGCATATGTTATTAGAAGAACAGAAAAACTGTAGTTAAGTATTTATATGTGAATCCTGATGTATCTGATTATATAACATTTAAAATAGGCAGCCAGTTTGTTGTTGCCAGTATGCTCAAGGTGGTGTAGAAGGACTACTTTTAAGACATACAAAAATAATATATCTAGATTACATTGAGGTTAATTGATTATAACTGTGATGGTAGTGTAAAACGATGAGTCTGAGTATGCAGATTCATTCCAAACATGATTTTCGTGTAGGTTTCTTCTTCCTATATTTTATTACCTGGTATTCCTTTTGTACATAATGTATTCATTTATTTTAGGAATTGATTTTGTTGCTTTGCTTCTTTAGCTTTCCATTAAATGAAACAATTTGAGGAATGCATTCTAAATTTTCTGTGCTTTGCATTTTCTTAAGGAGACAGAGGACACTGTCCAAGCCTGAGGTGACTGTGAAAATGTAAAAATTGTTTGTTTCTTTATGGCAACCCCACAAGAAACTCCAGAGATTTTATCTGCCCAAACAATTAGTTAATTAATAATTTTTTTGTGTGTTGTTTTCCACGGGCAAGGCTTTTTCTAGATAAAAGCATTTACTTTACGAAAGCCGTTAGCAAAGGAACTGTATTTACTGACAGATTCTCTAGTGTAAATCCCAAAACGAAGTAGATTCAAACACATTTTCATTTACTAATTGCTAAAATCAAGGCCAAAGGATTTTCTTAATTAACGTGGAAATAAAAGGCTAACCAGAAATAATTTATATATTGAAAAAGACTCTTCCAAGTTAATGCTTGATTCATTTTTTTTTTAAATTAGCAGTCCATTTGTGTGTAGAAGTAGTACCTCATGTTCTCTATTTTTTCTTTGGAGTAACATTAGGTTAAAGTCTTGCATGAAACTGATCACTCTGAAAAAAATAAATAAATAAAACGGAAAGTAAACACATTCCTAATTAGGGTTGTCCAACTTCAAATAGCTCATTGAAAATTCACAGGACATCCATTAAAATCCCTTTAAAAATAAATGGAATACCAGGAACTTTCTTAGAGTGAAACAGTGAATGGAGTAGTAGTAGTAGAATAATGATGCAATGGAATATCCACTTGTGATTAAGGAGGACAGCTGAGGTGGTAATTGTTGCTATTATGATTATTTTTCTCACTCTGGCATTTCCAATTGGCCTTGGATAGTAGAAGAGTACTTTTGTCTGTTTCTCTATTCGTTCTCACTTGACAACAGTATTGATGAAATTAAACAATGAATGATGTCTTAACAGCAAATGTGCCTGTAGGCACATGCTTTTGAAAACACATAAGTATGTATGTGTGTGTATTTATGTGCATGTGTGTGTATGTATATGTATATATGTGTGTATATATGTAAAGATAATTTACTATACCCATAATGATAATAATCATTTTACAAAGCTAATATTCCTTTTAACTATTAAGGTATCCTTAGTGGCATTAAATATACAATATTTAAGGGGTGCTTTATTTTTCTGAAATGAACTCCCTTATATTTAAAGTGTATACATTATCACCTTTTATGACATTATTTGAAAGTGGCTTAACCAGCTATCATAATAATGGGCAACATATTATCATTTGACAATTTGCAGTACTCTTTACTAAACATTAATTTATTTGCTATGTATACCATTTCTATGAGTACATTTTTCATTTGTCTGTTTCTTCAACCATGTGTTAGTCCATTTTTGCATCATTATAAGGAAATACCCAAGGCTGGGTAATTTAGAAAGAAAAGAGATTTAACTGGCTTATGCTTCTGCTGGCTGTACGGGAAGCATGGTGCCAACATCTGCTTCTGGTGAGCCCCTGAGGAAGGTAATCATTAAGACAGAAGGCAAAGGGGGAGCAGGCACATGACATGGAGAGAGTGGGAGCAGGAGAGAAAGTGGGAAGTGCTACACTCTTTTTAACAACCAGATCTCACATGAACTAACTGACCAGGAATTTACTCATCACCAAGGAGCCATTCATGAGGTATCTACCCCCATGCTCTAATACTTCTCACTAGGCCTCACCTCCCATATCGGTGATTACATTGTAACAAGAGATTTGGAGGGGATAATCATCCAAACCTTGTCATTCCATCCCTGGCCCCCCCAAATCACATGTTCTTCTCAGATTGCAAAAGACAATCATCACTTGCCAACAAGCCCCAAGAGTTTTTAGTCATTCCAACATTAAGTCTAAAGTCCTAAGTCTCATCTGAGACTCATCTCCTTCCACCTATGAGCCTGTAAAATCAAAATGAGTTATTTAGTCCCAAAATACAATGATGCTACTGGCAATAGCTAAGCTTTACCGGTCCAAAAGGGGAGAAATTGGCAAAAAGAAAGGGGCAATAGACCCCATACAACTCTGAAACCCAGCAGGGCAGACATTAAATCTTAAAGCTCCAACATAATCATTGACTTCAGTTTCCACATCATGTTGTGAGGGATGGGTTCCCAAGGACTTGGGTAGCCCTGTGCCTGTGGCTTTGTAGGACACAGCTCACATAGCTGCTCTCACAGGTTGCAGTTGTATGCTTATGATTTTTCTGGGCAGAGGGCTTAAGCTACCAGTGAATCTACCACTCTGGGGTCTGGAGGACAGTGGTTTCTTTCCAACATCTCCACTAGGTGGTGTCCTGGTGGAGATGCTGTGTGGGGGCTCCAACTCCATAATTTCCCCTCAGCTTGCCCCCGTAGTTTCTCTGTGAGGAGCTCCACTCCTGTGGCAAGCTTCTGCTTGGGCACCCAGGCTTTCCTATATATCCTCTGAAATCTAGGTGGTAGCCACCAAACCCCCTTCACTCTTGCAGACTTAACACCATGTGGAAACCACCAAGGCTTATGGCTTGTGCCTTCTGGAGCTGTGGCTTGAGCTGTACTTGGTCCCCTTTGAGCTATGACATAGCTGGAGTATATGGGGAGCAATATCTCAAGGCTGCTCAGGGCAGTGGGGCCCTAGGCGTGGCCCCTGAAATCATTCTATTCTCCTGGGCCTCTGGTAATAGATATCCTTGCCCAGAGGCCCAGGAGAAAAGAATGGTTTCTTGGAGCAGGCCCAGTCTTGAAAATCTCTGAAATGCCTTCAAGGCATTTTTCCCATTGTCTTGGATATTAGCGCATGGCTTCCTTCTGGTCATGCACGCCTCTCTAGCACATGGTCGCTTCATCGGTTGTTGATATTATTTCTCTGTCACTTGCCCAGTTTGCAAATTTTCCAAACCTTTGTCCTCTGCTTCCCTTTAAAATATAAGTTCCAACTGTAAATCATTTCTTTGCTCCTGTATATAATTTAGGCTGTTAGAAGGAGCCATGTCACTTCTTGAACATTCTGCTGCTTAGAAATTGTTTCTACCAGATATCCTAAGTCATCACTCTTAATTATCAACTTTCACAGATCCCTAGGACCTGGATGCAATCCAGCGGAGTTATTTGCTAGGGTGTAACAAGGAGGACCTTTACTTTATTTCCCAGTAACTTCCTCATTTCCATCAGACACCTTGTCAGTGTGGTCTTCACCATCCATATCTCTGTCAGCATTTTGTTCAAAACCATTTAACGGTCTCTAAGAATTCTAAACTTTCCCTCATCTTTCTGTCTTTGGAGATCTCCAAAATCTCCCAAGCCCTGCCTGATACCCAGTTCCAAAGCCACTTTCACATTTTCAGTTATCTTTATAGCAACACCCCACTACTTAATACCAATTATCTGTGTGTGTTCATTTTTGTATCACTATAAAGAAATGTCTCGGGCTAGAAAATTTATAAAGAAAAAAGGATTAATTGACTCATGATTCTTTAGGCTGTAGGAAGTATGGTGTCAGCATCTCATTTTGGTGA